AATGGAGACATTACTGGCACCCATTCGAGCAAATTGATGAACAAATGGATGACAGTGATACAGTGATACAGTGATGGTCTTATCTGGAAAAATGGAAGTGTAATAACTAACTGAAGTAGATTAGAGTGAATATGTACCATGTAAAAGCTAAATAGTTTCGAAAAGGTTCTGTGCCATATTTGAAGTTGGGTGCTACTAGTTAGTATCAGAACCTGGGAGTAAGCTCATGTATTATAGACATGAATTTTGGATTTCTTCCTAGGGAAAGGTCTTTCTTACATCATGTAACCTAACAGTATTAAAAGAGCTTCTTCTATTGAATTCATAGAATTCAGGAATTCTTAACTTTCTTGATGGACATTTAAGTACTTACCTTGAAGGGGGCTGGAGCGATAGCACAGTGGGTAGGGTGTTTGCCTTGCACGTGGCAAGCTACCGAGAGTATCCCGCCCGCATGGCAGAGCCTGGTAAGCTCCCTGTGGTGTATCCGATATGCCAAAAACAGTAACAACAAGTCTCACAATGTAGACGTTACTGGTGCCCGCTCGAACAAATCGATGAACTATGTGAGGACAGTGCTACAGTGCTACCTTGAAGGAGCTCTATGTGCAGCAGGATGAAGGCCAACCTAATGATGTCATGCAGCATCTGCAGAAGCAGGAGTTACCAGAGAGAGCCTGTTGCCAAGGTTCCATAAGACTGGCTGGGCATGTAGCTCTCAAAGATTTGTTCATAAGGCACCTAGGGTGTAAGCTCCAGAAGAAGGGTCTTGCCCCTCTGATGGTTAGGCAAACAGAACTATTTTACAAGGGGAGAAAATGATGAGATGTAGGATCTCAATGTCTGGTCCTGAATGGCTCTAGAGTCCTTATAGGGAGGTCCAGACCCAAGTAGTTCTCCTGCCCTATTTTAGCTGCCTCCTTCAGTGGAGGCCCTTGACCTGCTCCTGTCCTAGGGATTAACTTTTTTTTTCAGCATTAAAAAGTTAATTACAAAACCTTGGGATTACTCGAATATCTGTCATTAGAGGAAGGTTGAAAGATTCATTGCATCTCATACTGTAATAGATCTATAGGTATTGATCTGAAATATCTTCCATAATCCTGTCTGGATCAAATGAGATGATATATGTAAAGCATTTAATGTAGTTCCTGGAATGTGGCAAGAATTCAATAAATCATTATTATTACTCTTAATATATTTAAGTTGAAGCAGTTCATACTACCCAAAATTGAGATCCATGAAAGGCTAGCAAGTTGAATACCAGTATAAACTATTAAAAAACTAAATATTTTCTGCTCTCTTTGTCCAAGTAAATAAATTTTATTATTTACTCAGTTATTTTGGTATTTTATAATAGAATTTAATAGATTATTGTAACAGAATTGATGTAGTAACAGAATTTCTATAGATTATTCTTTCAGAGAATTTCTGTTTTTGTTAAAAAATATTAGTGGGAAAATTGAAGAAGTTTCTTAAGAGACCATAGCTTAGTTTAATAATTTACCAAAAATAAACCAGAATACTGTAATCACTGTATCACTGTCATCCCGTTGTTCATCGATTTACTCGAGCAGATGCCAGTAACGTCTCAGTTCATCCCAGCCCTGAGATTTTAGCAGCATCTCTTAACTCATTTTTCCCAATGAAACTGACATATTGGAGGCTCTTGCAGGGTCAGGGGAATGAGACCCATTATTGTTACTTTTTTTGGCATATCGAACATGGGTAGCTTGCCAGGCTCTTTTATTATTTTACATAATAAGATCATGTAACTGCTTTATAAAAGGCTTTACTATAATACATTTGAAATTATGTTTTATTAAAATAAAGGATATGAAAATTAGGCTTAGAATGGTGGCTCTTGGATCTTGACTTTTAACCATCATGTGATGTTGGTTCCAATAAATGAAGAAAAATGTTGGACTGGAAAGGTAGCACAAGGGTTAAGGCACATTCTTTTCACTCAGCCAACTCTAGTTCAATCCCTGGCACAGCATATGGTCCTCAGTACTGCCAAGAGTGGTCCCTGAGTAATGATCCTTGAGCACAGAGCCAGCAGTAAGCTCCCAGCTTACTCATCACCAGGTGTGTTACCCCACCTCCCCACCCTGCCATCCCCCAAAGTCTTTGGTATCAATTAAATTGTTATTGTTGTATTGTATCTTATAAATTGTAATCTCAAATTGTGGTGGGATTGGGGAAAAAAAACTCTCCAATCATTTCTACAAACATTTTTTTTTTTAAATTGGAATCACCATGAGGTGCAGTCACAAAGCTTTCATGATTGAGTTTCAGTCATAGAATTATTGAACACCCATCCCTCCCCCAGTGTGAATTTCCCACCACCAATGTCCCCAGTATCCCTCTTACCACCCCTACCCAACCTCACCTGCTGCCTCTGTGGCAGACAATTTCCCCAGTACTCTCTCCCTACTTTTGGGCTTTATGGTCCTCAACACAGATGCTGAGAGACTATCATGTTCGGTCCTTTATCTACTTTCAGCACATATCTCTACTACAAACTCTCCTTATGAGGACTATATTCTAATGTTGCTTTTTGAGTGGACATATCTCATAAATTATAAAGCAGTTACACCATTAATTTAGATCTCATTTATCTCAAGTTGTCATGGGAGAGAAGGAAGTAATTCTCTGAGGTGAATTTTCCAATTGAGTGCATCTATTCGTGAGTTAACAGCGATTTTTAATTTTTAAAGTTTCATAATCTATTTTATTTAACTAATACACATTTAATACATCAATTAAACAAAATATTATTAGTAAACCATTTAAATTTTTATTACTATTTAATATTCCAATTATATTCAGTATGTAGTCAAAATATGCAGAAATATCTTAATTCAAACAAATCACACTTTAAGTTCTAATTAACCACATGGCTCTATTGACTATCATATCTAACACTTTATTTGCATTCGTTCCCCAAAATGACCAGGAAGTTCTGTAGACCATTCAAAAAGAGATGGACAATGAATAAGCACATGGAAACTTTTGAATGTCAACTTGTTACGGAATATTGAAATATTTTAAATTATAGGTTTGATGACTTGATTACAACAGCGTGTTTATGTACAAAACTACTGTATTCCACCATCATCAAAATCCTCCACTATTTTTCTTATCATTTCTAGTCCACCTTTACCTGATTGGTTATCTCAGGATAGCCATTCCCTCACTGATTGGTTATCCCAGTTGTGCAGTCAAAGACCAAGTATTCGTTATCATTTGATATTATTTGTTTTATTTCTCTATATACCACAATTGAATGAGACCATCCATATTTTTCTTCCTCCTCCTACTTATTTCACTTAACATGATGTCCTTGGTTCTATCACAAAACCACGTGTTGAAGAAACTCCATGCCCTACTACACAATTTTTGGCTCCTTTATTGAAGATAAATTGATAATATACCTGAGGGTCTGTTTCTGGATTTTTTTTTGATTGTGGTATTTGGGCCACACCTGGCAATGCTCAGGGGTAATTTCTGGCTCTACACTCAGAATCACTCACTTCTGGTAGTGCTCAGGGAACTATAGGGGATGTTGGGATCAAACCTGGATCTGCTCAGGTGCAAGGTAAGCACCCTACCTGCAGTACTCTTCTCCAGCCTCTTTTTCTGGAGTTTCAACTCTGTTCATTAATCTGAGGGTATATCTTTATTCCAGTGCTACACCGTTTTAATTACTACTGTTAATATCCATTTTGATAAAAACTACAGTAAAACATTTTTTGATTTTTTATGACCGTGACACTTAATAGTAGAGTTTCTTGAGAATAGTATATGACCTCTGTGAGTCTAAATTACCTGCATAATTTGCCTGGTCATTTTGGGGAACAAATGCAAATAAGTACCTGATACATAAGAGACATTGAATAAATATAGGAGTTGCTAAGGAAATATGCCTTGGGTAATTGAAAATATCTTCTAACATTGGTTTAAATTTGTTGTAATCAGCTTGCTGTTGGTTTAAGAGCTCTAAAGTCAATTGACTCCTTAAGCTTTCCAGAGCAGGTGAGTGACATGGTTTTGAAACTGTTATCATGATTAGATAGTAACAGAAAACCACATGTGTTTGACACTTCTTAGATTAATATATGGAGTACAGTGGAAAATCCAGAATCACATATTTAGCTACTGGAGTTATTTAATTAGGCAGGTGATATCAGGGCTAATGAGTCATTAACACATAAAAAGAGCAATTAGCTCATTGTTTCCATAATTTTATGCAATCAAGCAGAATGCAGTTCTCAGGATGACTTTATGTAGAATTTGCATAGGTTAATTTCTGTTGTATTCTTTTCAAAGTAGGTCAGTAAATTCATACCAGTTTATATTAGTGTCATTTATTTTTCACTATTAGTAAACATATGTATATACAATACACAATTTAATATTGCATATTACATATAGATTGACAAAGGGAAACTATTGAAATTGTGTAAATGAGCTTTAGAGACCCTCTTTTTCTGACATACTTTCTGAAGGAAGCATCAGGGCTGTCTTTCACATCATTTATTCACTCATCAGTCATTTTTATTCAGTATCTTGACCTAATCAGTGAGCTCCTACCGAAGGCCACTCCCTGTTCAGGCACTAGGGCAACTTCATGAATATGATAATCAACACCTACTGTTATATTCTGCAAAGAGGAATCCATGTTAATCAAATAAATGGATATAAAAACATTGGGCAATGCTGAGTGCATTTCACACTTAGACTTTTCATTGAACCTGAATCACATGTCTTACAAATCTCTCATAATTGCCCTGATTTGTATCCAAGTTCCCACCACCTCCAAAGCTCAGAATTCAGCTTCCTTGAGCCCACTGGGATTCTCCCCTGAATACTTTATTAGGGACACCCCCTCCCACCTCAGTCATGTTTTAGGTTGGCACCATGCACATTATTGCTACTTTTAATAAGTATCTGCTTGAACTGACTTCTGAGGCCTATTTGTATTTTTTTTTTAACAGATCAAACCAGTGGTACATTCTGATATAAATGTACCTTCTAGGTGGCAGTCGTATCAGCGTTTATCCCGTCACATAAAGTGAGTACAGTATTGCAGGTGAGAAATCACCTCTGTCAGATTCCCTTGGAGATAATACTTTTTAATCTCTCAGGGATTTCTGGATTTAGCTGTAGTCAGGCTCGTTGGTGTTCAGGTACCACCAGAGCCACAAATAATTTTTTTTGGGGAGAGAGGACCCTGGAATACTGGGAATTGAACTCAGGGTTTGCACAGTGAAACATATATATGTCACTATTTTTTTTTTTTCTTTTTTTTTTCCCCCTTTATTTTATTTTATTTTTTTTAAAGTTGTAGATTTACAATTTTTTGTGCTTTGGTTTCAATTATACAATGATCAGATACCCATCCCTCCACCAGTGCCCATTTTCCACCACCATGGATAATATCCCTCCCACCCCCATCCCCCCATCCCCCCGTCTCTGTGGCAGGGCAATCCCCTGTGTTCTCTCTCTCCTTTTGGGTGTTGTGGTCTGCAAAAGAGGCATTGAGTGGCAAACATGTTCAGTCCATAGTCTACTTTCGACATGCATCTCCCCTCCTGGGAGGATCCTCCAAACATCCTTTATTTGGTGCTCCCTTCTCTATCTGAATAGCCCTTTCCTCTAGGATACCCGGCTGGCCTCTAAGTTATGGAGTAATCCTCCTGGTGCTGATCTCAGCTATTCTTGGGTATTAATCTCATACTTTGTTACTTTATATCCCCCAGATGAATGCAATCTTTCTATGTCTATCCCTCTCTTTCTGACTCATTTCGCTTAGCATGATACTTTCCATATTGTACCACTTGTATGTAAATTTCATGACTTCATCTTTTCTAAGAGCTACATAGTACTCCATTGTGTAGATGTACCAAAGTTTCTTTAACCAGTCATCTGTTCTTGGGCATTCAGGTTTCTTCCAGTTTCTGGCTATTGTAAAGAGGGCTGCAATGAACAAGCAAGTGCAGATGTCACTTCGACTATACATTTTTGCCTCTCTGGGATATATTCCCAGGAGTGGTATTGCTGGGTCAAATGGGAGCTCAATTTCTAATTTTTTGAGAATCGTCCATATGTCACTATTTAAACCACCTTTTGGTCCCTCTTTAATGAGAACAGTGGCAGACTCTGTGTCCTGGGGCACCCACCCTTACTTCATTATCATTTTGATGGCTAATTCTTCCAGGGATGATCTTCTCAAGTCACCCTGTCAAGTATTTTCTCAATGCTTTATTACAGAAGAGCCATCCAATGCCCAGGCTATGTTTAAAGCACAGTTTACACACAACTTAATTTATGGGGTTTTAATTTTTTTTAATCAAGGAGTTATTGTATATTGGAAGGAAACAGTTTCTCCCTCTGTGAGCTTCTGCTACCAATGATCCCATAAGATTATAGCATGATAGCATGTCTAAAACATGTGCTGTCTAAGAACCAGAATGTGCTAGAGTCTGGAATACTGCTGTCCAGGGATTTTTCTGCTTTTCCTCTCAAGCATTCTGTATACATTATACATTTCCTCTCTCTGAATTCATTTGCTCCCTAGTAGACCGAGAACCAAGAATATCTGCCCCAAGCATAGGAGAATGAATGGGAAATATTTCCAAGAGTCTGCCTGGTACTCATCATGGAAGAGGAATTGTTCAAGTGGTGGTTCTTCTTCCCAATTCTTGTATTGTGTTAATATTTTAGGGTTAAGTTTTTTAATATGAGGTGCAAGATAGTGCACGCCCTCCCTTTCCTTCCCTTCCCTTCCCTTCCCTCCCCTCCCCTCCCCTCCCCTCCCCTCCACTCCTCCCCTCCCCTCCCCTTCCTTCCTCCTTCTTCTTCTTCTTCTTCTCCTTCCTTCCTTCCTTCCTTCCTTCCTTCCTTCCTTCCTTCCTTCCTTCCTTCCTTCCTTCCTTTGAATCATTTTCCTAAGACTTTTCAAAACAATTGGGGGAATATTTTCCAATGCATGCTATAAGACCAATATTATTCTGATATTAATGTCAGTCAGACAAATGCCATTCCGCAAAGTCGTAAATAAGTCCAGACCCTGATGAGTATAGATGCCAAAATTCTCAATAAAATACTAGCAAATTAAATTCAACAATTAATCAAAAGGATCATACATCATAATTGATTGGGGTTTATTCAGACTTGCAAAGATAGTTTAACATATTCATGTCAATCAATATAATACGCTATATCAATGAAAGGAAAGACATAAATAGCGATAGCACAGCGGGTAGGGCGTCTGCCTTGCACGCAGCTAACATGGCCGACCCGAGTTCGATTCCTCCGCCCCTCTCGGAGAGCCCGGCAAGCTACCGAGAGTATTCGATATGCCAGACACAGTAACAACAAAGTCTCCAATGGAGACGTTACTGGGCCTGCTCGAGCAAATCGACGATCAACGGGAGGGCCTTTACCTTTTACCTTTTAATATATACAGAGAAAGCATTACTAAAGATTCAGTACCCATTTGTTATTGAAACTTTAAATTAAATAGGGCTAGAAACCTTAAATAGTTAGCATAATAAAGTACATATTCTGAAAACTCACAGCTCCCACCATATTCATTGGAATTAAACTGTTTTTTTCTTCAATATCAGAAATAAGGCAAGGTTCTCCGGCATTCCCACTTCATTTCCATTAGTGTTAAACATCTTTGCCAGAGCAGGTATACAATAACTAGAAATAAAAGGAAACTACATTGGAAAAGAAGTGAAACTATCATTAACAAATAATAGGATCACACACACATGCATGTACACACATGTGCATATACACCAAAAAGACATTAAAATTCATTAGAAACACTCAGTACAGCAAAGTGATTAGTTATAAAGTCAATGTATAAAAACTGATTGTGTTTCTATATGTAAATAGTGAATGAGAAGAAGAAATAGAGAGCAATTGCATTTACAAAATGCGTTTAAAAATAAACTGCCTACGAAAATTTAACAAAGAAGGCAAAGGACTTGTGCAATGTAAACTTCAAAATACTGCTAAAAGATAGATCAAAACATTAGCAGATGGAGAGACATTCCATGTACATGGGTAGAGACAATATAGTCAAAATTACCATTTTATCAACATTGAATGTAAAGTTAAATAAAATCCCAATGCATACTCCAATGATTTTTTAAAAAAAGAAATTGGACATAAAGTTGTGAGGTTTTTGTAAAACCAGGAAAGAGCTCCGTTATAACAAAACTGGTGAAGGAAAAGAAAAATGATGGCATCATATTATCTGACTTAAAATCATACTACAAATTGATGGTAACTGCATGGTATTATCATACAAACCCCATAGAGATCAAGGAAATAAAATTTAAAATTAGAAATCTACATATACAATTATCATTATTTAACTTATCACAAAAAAGTAAAACTTTACAACAGCAGAGGGCGAGTGTCTTCAACAAATGGTAGTGGAAAAAACTGAACAGCTACATGCAGATAAAAATAAAGCTGCCACAGAGGCAGGGTGGGATGGGGGGGATGGAGGGTGGGAGGGATACTGGAATCCGTGGTGGTGGGAAATGGGCACTGGTGGAGGGATGGGTATTTGATCATTGTATAATTGAAATCCAAGCACAAAAATTTGTAAGTCTACAACTGTACCTCATGGTGTCTCACCAATAAAAATAAAAATAAATAAATAAATAAAATAAAGCTGGCGGTTGGGGATGGGAGAGACGGTATAGCCTTAGCACTTGCTGTGCAGGTAGCTGATCCTAGTTCTGTACCCAACAACACATATGGCCTTTGAGCACCACCAGGAGTGATCCCTGAGCACAGAGCCAGAAAGAGCCCTTGAGCATCGCTGGGTGTGGCCCCCAAACCAAAATACAAGAGTAAATAAAAAAAATTTAAAAAGATGCTTGGTTACTCTACCCTAATATACAAAAGTAAATACAAAATGATTAAAGTCTTCTATGTTAGTCATAAAGGACATAGGCTAACAGGGGAAGGGGTTTCACTAGTGTTGGTGTTAGAGACTAAGACCCAGTAGGGAAATGAATTAAATTGAAAAGTTTTCATGCAGTCAAAAAAAAATAAGTAGAATGAAAGTCTCTCAAACTCTAAACTTGCAATTTTCTATAGATTGGAAATTGCATTTCTTTTATTTCCTTTATAAAAATTAAAAATCCATTGATAATTTTACATGTATAGACATATGTGCAGAATTTTCGTAAAAGGTGGAAGTCTGAAGAAGTATAAAAAAAATTAAAATTACTCACTATCCACTCACCAGCTACAACCACTCTTAACTGTGGGGAGCATATATTTTTCTCATTCTCTCTGTTGCGGGACTATTTTTCTTTGGTTTGCTACGTAGGTCATACATCAAATTTATAGCTATAGAATATCTTAAGATATTTTCCCTTTGCACCTGCTATTGTGATTTTTGTGTGTGCGTGTGTGTGTGTGTGTGTGTCTGTGTGTCTGTGTCTGTGTGAACATGTGTATGTTTGTTTTGGGGCCACACCTGGCCTGTTCTCAAGGTTTACTCCTGACTCTGCACTCAGTGATCACTCCTAGTAGAGCCTGAGGCACCATATGTGGTGCGGGATGTTGGGAATTGAACCTGAGTTGGCCATGTGCAAAATAAGCATCCTGCCCGCCATGCTATCATTTGGTCCTGTGTTTTTAATAGCAGTCCTTATATTTATTTCCCCTATAAAGTGAATCTTCACAATAAAGTGGCAGCATAATTAATTATTGAATGGCTACATTATAATTTATTTAATCATTTTTTCAAAGCTGAATATTTAGGTTGTTTTAATAAATAAAACCACACACTTTCCATGTAACTCTCTGTCCCATTTCTGTGGATTGGACTCATGGATTCGAAAGGTTAGTGATAGATTTGGGAACCCTGTCTGGCACCGACAGAGGGACAGAGACGAATAAAGTGAAGGAAATAGGAGTTTATTGGGGTGTGCTCCAAAGCGAACTCCACCAACCTTGGATGAGGCTGGGGTAGGGCTTGGAAGAGACTAAGGGGGGGGGCCTTTAAATTGTCTTGGGTGGGAAAAGAGAAACGAG